CTTTAATCGAGTTTTAGTTTCGTTTCGTAATAAAGAGCCAATACCGTGTCGCGCTATCTAAATGGTTATAGACGCAGTTAGGTACGCGGTTCCGTTTACAGGGACCATCGTGTTGCCACCTTTTTGTGGCCATCTGCAGGTGGCTTAGTTCCTTTAATTTTATCTTATAAAAGAGGAAGTTACTAAGTTGCAAAAAATCGAAACAAGTTTTAGGATGTCGTATTTATTTTTTTACTATAGTTAGGTATTTTTTAGTATAGAAATTAAGCATAAAATTATGAATTTTTCAAATCCTTCTTTGGACTGTTTAAAATGATTATCTACCTTCATACCAGTCTGTGTGAAACTAATGTAATATTAACATATGATATGTTATTATTGTATCACATTTTTAGCAATAAAAAATTCATTTATTCATTCTGTCGTCTGATAAGTCAGAGGCCTTTCGTGTACAAGGAAGGCAGCCTAGAAACTCTTGTTACCAGAGGGCGCTTCCCTCACACGAGTAGTAGAAGTCGTACTGTATTTATTTAGCTTATTATACTACCAAAATGAACAGGAATATAACGACACCTTTATGTATTACATAAACTTGGTTGGACTGTATTTTGAAGTACTTCTAAACCGCCGCAACATGGCCGTTTTTACCACAGCTTTTGATCGAAAATTTTCCAATATATTATTATAACTTAAATTTACGTTAATAGTCAGACCATAATAGTATTAAGTGCTACATTCATATGCCATTCGTGCTAATCATTATATGTATCCAATCATATTTATTAATTACACACCCAAAGAAGATTTCCGGGTGAAGTCACAAAACTTGACGGAAACGATAACCATAGTTTAAATTTATTAAATTCTCGTTGTTTTGTAAACAGAAATATTTTAGACTAGCTTTCGCTCGTAACTTTGTACGAGTTCATTTTGGAACTATGAAAATTAATGTAATAGAATGACTTTTAAAAAACGTATCAAGATTAAGCACGCCATGTTTTCAATAAGACTTTCAGGAACACAGCTGTGGAAACCGCATCCAAATTACAAAAAAAATATTTATTTATATATATATATATATATATATATATATATATATATATATATATATATATATATATATATTCTTTATTGCACTAAATATTCAGTGACAACAATAAGTTAATAACAATGTTAGCAAAGGCGAACTTATCTCTAATAGAGATTTCTTCCAGTCAACCTAACAGTAGTAGTGTAAGACAGAAATTAAAATAAATATTTTTAGTACCTTTATAAAACTTCTCCTTTCACATTTTCTAAAAATTCTTCGATTTACACTTTTATTATGTTAGTAAGGTTTAAAAAACAAAATCAAAATTGTGTAGCCTAATAGAACTATAAACAAAGTTACATTCATTTAACAATGTTATTAGATGAACTTTAAGGAAATTAACTTAGGTACATATTAAGATTACGTAGTATATGAAAAGCTTCAGCAGTCTCTTATATTTTTGACAATATGTATTGGAATATATGTGTATATATATGTACTTGCAACACGCTTCGATGCAAGAACAAAAAATAAATTTAGCTGCTTTTATTTTTGGTATTAAAAGAGGTTAGTAGCACGTAGCTTGAGGACCAAAAAATGTGTGTTATTTATTTATACTTTAATACACAAATATGTCATTTATTATGTCGTTAAATTTGAACTGCTGAACATAGGCCTTCCCCATAACGGAGGCTTTGCTATTAATTACCATGCTTGGCAAGCAGATTGGCAACCGCAGTTAGACTTTGACGATGTTTTGATAGGAGCACTGGTGCCCATCCCTCGGCTATTGAGTTGCCTTAGTCGCCTCATATGTTGCATTATATTATATACCATTCGAGTATTGACGACCATTTGTAGAGCCATTAAATCCCCCCCCCCCCCCCTATTCCTACATACATACATACATATCTGTCACGCCTGTCTCCCATTAGGGTAGGCAGAAACAAAGGAACGCCAAATGCTTCGATTCAAACAAACCTCTTTCGCTTCTTTCACATTCATCAATCTTTTCATACACGCTCGCCGGTTACGGGTACTTTTAATTTGGCCCTTCTTCAGCACGTCGCCTATTTGGTCGACATACGTCCGTCTAGGGCGGCCCCTACCGACATCTCCATACATTCTTGCTCGATAAATCTCTTTCGTAATTCTTCTTTCATCCATGCTCTCCAAATGATTAAACCAACGCAACATTCCTCCCCCTATTCCTAAAGACTTATTTTAAGTATTACGCTGTTTTGTCACTTTCTTTCAAGTTAGTAATTTAGCACAAAAGAAAGAGACAAGAGGCTCTAAGAGGTAACAATTTCCATTAGTAAATATTTAATTATTAAATTTAAAGTATTTGTATTTTTCATACAACTACAGTAATACGAAAATACAAATGTACAAACGGTATGTCGTCCTCATAGGTATGTGTAAGTAAACTAAAAACGCGCATGCGTAGGCGCCGGTCCACTGTCGCCGGAGAGACGGTGACGGTGAGCCGCTCTTGTTTATGGCAAATTTACTGCGGACGTTTAATTGCACACGAATTTGGTGCGGGGGCTCGTTTAGCGATATTTACTGGGTTTGTCCTTAACAGCGCCGGTTGGCTGATTCAATGAGACGTAATTACTTAGTATTATTTGCAAATGCGCCTGCCTGTATACGAGCATTCAACATACAAACTCAGTAACAAAGATCGATAAATAATCCACTAATATTGTATCTCGGTTCAATTGGATCCACGATCTTGATCAAATAACGTACAAAATCAATAATGAGATCGTTAAAGAATTACTTTGATTCATAGTATCTTTGAATAGATAGTGTCTCTAGTAATCTAAAATGCGTCGTCAAAACAGGCCAACTTTTTGTTCTTTCTTGAAAGAATTTGAACCATAGTCTATGTTTATGTCTATGTGTGCAGAGAATTACGACATTCGTCAGTGTGTGCGTGAAAAAGAAATGTTAAATTATAGTTAGTACTTTCAACATTTTGAAATGGTGCAAATTGTTTAGTTTTTTTTTTTTCAATGGGTGTAAATGGTATGGTAACCCCGCCTGCGCTAACGGGATACGCTGGCGGAACACCAGTGAAGGGTGATAGATGAGAATGAAAACAGAACCAGTTAGCCCATCATGATGAATTCATCAGGAATTAACCATGATAGTTTCCAGGGGGAACCGCGAGGAGGTTGACCTGGTTGGGTATATTGCTAGCAATGGGATTCTCAGTCTCCATTACTAACAATCCCGTTCCCTCCAATTTGTTTAGTTTAAGTAAAATAATCGTATAAGAAATGCTTGAAAAATCATTATTATTAGCTTCATTTATTTTTGCTTTGTTTAGTTTCTAGTTTTTAAATATATTTAGTGGTATGCACATAATATTGTGAGACCACATATATCTACCGCACATATCTATATGCGAACACATATAAGTACTATGTAGTTTTATATTGTTATTCAGTCTACTTATTATCAAGAAACATAGAAATTTAAATTCATGCATAGCATTAGCTTAGTTTTCCACGATAAACGCAATTATACCAATATATTCACTATATTTGTTACAGTTACTGTTTATTGTAACACTAAAAGCGGCGTGTGTCTTGTGTCTATATATGTTTGCGATATCACCGTAACATTTAGTCATGAAGCGGCGAAAGCAACAAATAATATGAAATTCCTATCATTAACAGCAGAAATTGGCTTTCCAGATCTAATACAGGCAAAGAATATACCTATCTATAAATTACCTTTAATGTATTGATGTAAATTTTGTAATTTCACTCTAGATAGGAGTATTACTTTATAATGATTTAATGATTGTGTCACGTAGTCCATGAATTGAACGAAATCTGGGAAATACTTTAATAGAATTGTTGAAGCTACATATACGTTAGCAAAATCATCATTCTCAAAACAGTCGGTTAAAAAAGAAAATTAAATACATCATATTCCTGTATTAAGCGAAAGTTCTTTCGCTTGGAATTATAATTGTTTTAAAATTAGAAAAAAATCTAAATATCTTACAACTTTTATTAATTAATTTATTTCTTATTGCATTCCATAATGTGTTTGGTAGATATTAAAACAACTCTAATTATGGACTCTGTTGGGCACAGCAATTACGAGAGAGGAGGACAACCTTTTTTTACTTTCGAATTGTTAATGAGTTTATTACAATATTATTCAGTCATTGAAATTGTTTCACGTATATGTATTGATATGTATTTATTCATATTGTAATTGTTTTTTATCAGTTAGATCTATAATATCTTTAAGTCCGTTAACAAACAGTTCAATGATAAAGTTGCAGCAGTGTAGTGTTTAGCAAATGTTTTACTTAAGGTGTTTATTTTTAAAATTGCAATTTTAATCATAAAAGAATGGCAACAGGATGGAAATTATTTTGTATTCATCGATCTTAATATGCTAATGTTGCACTATACGAGATGCGATGCACAAGGACCGGTCGTAAAGGCTGCACACTCCGAAGGTCCGTGAGCCCACGGCGTGCACCTTAAATATCTCTGTAACACGATACCTACACAGGCCAAGCGCACGTAGGCCGCGCGCGAAGCCGGAGGAATGACATGTCCTAGCTATTCGTTTTATCCTTCCACTGTTCATTCCGTTTTATTTACAACTGTCTCTTGACTTTTATTAAGCGTATTTTCTCGTTTTCTTGTTTTGAAAATCACGTCTGTATCGCATTTTGTTTTTGTTTTATTGGTTTGTCTTATGTATTTTATTGTAGTCTCTATGCGCTTATGTAGTAAGGCAAATATTCACATGTTAAGGAAAATTGCTAAAAACATATGCGTTTTGTAAGAGCCTTCCTAAATCTTTATTTTAGATTTAGGCCTATGGTAAGATTCTAGATATTGATACGCTTCTAAATTATTTCAGTTAGTAAAGCGTTATGTGCTTTATTGGGATCGTCAGGTTAGGATTTCACAGCACAGAATTAAAATGATTTGTTTAAAATTTGAAATTATTTATTTTACTATAGATTATAGGTATTAGGTATTCCTACTTTATAAGATTCAGTCAAATAAATACACGATGTTTAAATTAAATATATCACTAAAATTGTACAACGATAAAAATTATTTACATTATATCACAAATTAATATTTGAAAATGTCCTATTTTATTAGTAGTATCACTTCTACTTACAGTCTGTCCGATCCATATGGAATATCTGACAAGTTCACTAACCAGAATCGCGTATACATATACTTCGTCACACTCGGTCTCTGCATACGAATTTAGTCACTACTTTTCCTATTGGATTCCAACACAAAGAAATGCTTCAACTTTGCCCCTAATCTACGTAAATGACTCGAGAATGATTATTAATATTAACGGTAAATCACTTCACCTATTCAATCACACAACTCTAGGAGCCGAGTTCACAACTTTTCGAATGCCCTGGAGTTGGTCAACATTTCCCTCGTCAACCTCCACACCTGCTTTGCAGCGTTCTCCAGTGCCGTCGGGGATTTTCCCTTGAATAAGTCCACGTGTGGCAGGAAGTAATGAGGACACCTGCGGCATTGAAGCGAAGATATCAACTGGAGAAAGATTCCATTAATTCTATCCCCTATTGCAGCCTCATCCCATTCGTGCTCTCTCGGATGTTTCTCGCATTCGTATAAGAGCAGGGTCTTCATGTGATAACAGGTAACCGGATTACCGGGTAAGTCTAAATGCCGGTCTCTGATAGTCTTAAGAATGCTCAAACATTTCCGCCTACAACCGCCCTGGAGGAGACGGTTCTCAGCTTCAAAGAAACTTAAAACCCAAGCGTCACCTTCCATAGCGGAATTCTTTCCTTGCAGAGCGAGACATTCTTTAGATAATAAATCGAAACCTTCTGTCTTTACTTCAGCGACTATATTTGGATGGGGCCAGGGTATAGCTGGTAGGGGCCAATGCGCCGCTGATCTAGGCCATAGTCCCGCACATTTAAAAGCCGGAGTTATTTGAACTATGTATCTTTCTCGAATGCGCAATTTCACTTCAGTCGTTTCAGCGATCATTTTCACACAATCCCTGTACGAACACTTGTCACAAGCTTGAGCGACTAGAGTCTGGAACCTCGACCGGATCTTCCTCGCAGATAGATATCCTGAAGCGGTGATGAACTCCACCCACAGGGACATGGATCGCTTCCTGCCGTCGCTGAGTTTCAAAACAGCACACCCAGGTAAAGAGCCGTCGTCTACGAAATTTAGAACACCCATTTGATTTAGATAAATGACGATTTCAAACTCATGAGGCGACACCACCTCGAGGCCGTCGAAGCGTCCGTTGTAATCCGTGAGCGAAGAAATGAATCTCGGCTCTTGAAGTTCCACCTCCTTGAGGACATCTTGCACGATTCTACAGACTTCGTGTATGGTTTTGGCGATTTGCGCCTTCCGGTTGGCAACGCGTTCGTTGTAGTATTTATTCATCTGGTAGACTAGTTTGGATTGTGCCGCCATCATCTCCGGGGGCACTAGCATGGTGGCTGTCTCTTGTTGTGTCTACGCGGTGCACATCGTACGGCGGCGGTGTACGCACGCGCGCGGCACGCGGTTCTCTACCGACTGAGCCATGTCGGATCACCCGTCGTTGAAGGCAAGGGTACGCCCATAGCTTTATATTCGGGCGAATAGCAGGACCGTGTTTTGTTTCACTCTCGCTTACTACTGTTACAGCTCGTGTGAAAGGGATGGCTCCGTTTTCCTCGTGTATGTGTGCACTGGCTGCCAAGTATTGATCGCGGGCCGACTCCGCCCGCTCGGGCCTGTAGGTATCCCGTGCTAGGTGTGCGTAATTACATGATTGCGTTAGCACAGCGCTCGTTAATTCAGTAGCGGTTACATGTTTGGTTCTATTAGCGACTACTTTTTGCTACATCGTTTAAGTGTCTTGTTTAAATTAGGTAATAATGAAATTTATTATTTTCAAATAAAAATTGGTAGTAACGTCTAATAACAATCTAATCGCATTATTTTTATGGTGTGTATAGAAATATCTTTCGAAATAAACAGATTACAACTGTATCTTTAAAGGTATTCGTCTATTTTTAAAGAGATTAGGGAATTCAGTTTTTGACATTATTTTACTATATACATATGTCTTGTCAAGTATTTTTTAACATCTGCCCTGATATAGCATTATTACAATCTAAAGAACTTTTTCTCAACTCTACAGGATTAATTATACAGGGTTTTTCTTAATTTTTAGATAAATTCCTTTAATCATACCTACAATCATAACTACGAACTGTCTACCTTTTACTGAAATCTGTACCACTTCAAACAACAATTGTTATTTTTAAGTAATCCTTTTCGTTATTTCCTATAGGGCTATACCTATAGGCTAGGCAAAAACTACGAACCGTCACTAGCTTTCGTTGTAACATACTTACCTACTTACCTTCTCTAATTTACTCTATATTCATACATCTCTTCAAACAGTACCAAACCACCGTACAACCCGCCACAAACTAAAATCTCATCCTAACCATCTGGACGAGTGGCGGTCACTTTCTTCCACGCACAACCACTCTTTGGAATCAACTCCCAGCAGCAGTATTTCCGAACCGATACGACAACATAACCTTCAAGAAAAGAGTATATTCCTTTTTAAAAGGCCGGCAGCACACCTGCGATGCCGCTAGTGTTGTGGGTGATCATGGGCGGCGGTAGTCACTTACCATCACTTACAAACGAGCCGCTTGCTCGTTTGCTCCCTGTGTTGTAAAAAAAACAGGCTCCTTGGTTTGGTATAGGTATTCATGTATCTAGTTTGATCTCTCTTTATCACTGTAAATGCGAGCAAAAGATTAGGGACCCTGGGCTGATTTAAATATATGTATCAACATTAACGCTATAGGTACCAAATTAACTACCTCTGCATTATCATCATATGAGTCGTTAACTGCTAAACATAGCGTACTCCATAAGGGGGGTTTTGCCAGTAGTTGCCACGTTTGGTAGGCGGTTTAGCGACCGCAGTTAAGATTTGGTGATGTTTTAAGATAAACACTGCTGCCAATCCCTCGACTAAGTTCCCATAGTCGCTTCTTACGACACCCACGAGAAAGAAAGGCTTAGCCCATTCTATGCCGGGACCATACGGCGACTACTATCTATTAGAAAATGTATATTGAATTGAAGATCTGTTATTTTCTATTTATTTATTTAAACTTTAATGCACAAATAAGTAGACACAAAAAGGTAACATATTTATCAATAGCAAAACCATTTCCGCACTAAACCCTTTCAATAATGCCATCCATTTCCATGCCAAGCAATTCCATACACCTTTTTTGATAAAAGTAAGTACATAAATATAATTTTGTAATTTCGAGTCTAAATTTAACCCATATCACATAAATAAGCTTTGCTTTATTTAATTTAGAACCCAAAATTGCCACAGAAAGAAGCTACAGTTAAAAAGATATTTAAATTTAAAATTATTGTCAGTGGTTTTTTCATTATGGTATAACTATTTAAATTTCATAGTTTACTTTGTTACTTATCTGCTTATGTTAAGTAACACCAAAAATTTGATTAGTTTATCAATCTATTGGTGTAACTATCCTATTGCACTTCAGCCACACGAGTAAGAGTCTGAAAGTCCGAGACACCAGACACTAGGACCTCATAAATATGTGCCGTTAATGAGGAATGCCAGCTCCATACGTATGGCGAGTCAACTCGACGAGAATACGTTCATGTCAGGTATGCACGCGCGCTCTATTTCGGGCGCGCCAGGATTGATGGGGCGACGGTGCGTGATGGATGGCCCGCTGCTGTTTGATTTACTACGATGCTGTCACCTCGCGATTCATGCGAGCCTGGTACCTAGCCGAAACGGGATAGTTTCGGGAAGGGAATTAAATAAACTCGTTACAAGAAGTTCCGCTTGAAATCCACACGGAAATTGCTAGATTTATAATAATTTTCTTAAAAGCTCTGTTAAAGTTTTATCCAATACGAGTATATCTGATTATAACTCCAAAATTTGAAATCTTGTATGACAGATTATTAATTTGTTAGTTGTATAATTGTATATAGCTCTCTTTTAATAATTATTTCTTGTTATTTGTGACCAAAATACCAGAATATTTGAATATTTAATAATAATAGATACCATACTTAAATAAGTAAACAGACCACAGTGGCAAGATCCTATAAAACGTACAATAATCTACAAAAATGTCAGTTGTGGATATTCTCTTACAGATTTATTGCCCCATACAGATAATAGGTATAAGAGTTAAATTTAGATAAGGCAAATAAAAAAAAATACGTCAACCGTAACATTATCCCTAAACTTAATTCATACCTACAAACCATTTTTAGTTCCATATGTAAATTTTAGTAGAAAGAATGAGTGCTTCTTGTCCGAATTCAGAATATGTCCTTTTAAGGCGTTTTAGTAGATTCTTAAAACTAACTTAAAAATTTGTGTCCAAAGACAATATCTAATAAAAAAAATTTTATGAAAACTAAAAGTCGAATAGGTAGTCATGGACCAAAACCTAAAGTTTTACTATCTTTCGCCGTCATCATTCATTTCCCCACAGCATTTATTTACACTTTCATTTTTAACATCATGTAGCAGTCAGTGTTGGATCTCTTCTCAGTATTAGAGTGTCTCTAAACTAATGCTTCGCTAAAAACAACATTTCATCCGTACTGCGTGAATATAGAGTTATATAGAGTTGTCATAATGTACATTTATTATTAAATACATAAAAAAAAGTATAATGTATTTTCGTTTATAAATAATTGAAAATGTATTTTAAATAATACATGTACTTATATAAATATATAGAAAATAATAGGTAATGTAAAAAAATAGTGTTACCAATTCTAATTTTAAAATCCGGGGAAATTTTTAATCAAATTATTTGCAACACTGGAAAAGTACCTTTCCTTTGATTTAAAAAACATGTGTCGACCCATTTTGACGTTTGGCTGACAAACAGTTGACCCATTTTTTACACACTCGATCTATATAATTTCTACCTATGTTATCTAAAGCTCCAGTAGGTATAGTGAATTTTCTAGTTGACAAAACAAAGACCCTACGTGAAATTTATATTGAAAAAAAAAACTGTCTAAACTACGAGTAACATTAAAGAAAGATTTATTATCAATAAAAATTGTGTTACTATTGTATTACCTATCACCGAAACAAGTGTATAAGTTAGATACCTACCTACTCTGTCTCAATGTATATCAAGATTAACGAGTGTCCCTACAAAATTACTTACATACCTACTTGACAAAAATAGAGCATCAGAACCATTTTTACCTATATATTGCAAAATACAAACATATCAGATACATAGATATACTATCATTTAAAAAAATATGTCCCTAATAAAGTTTGGAAGTTTTCTTTTAAATTGTTACTTCTTTGTTTTCGTCGTCGATACTTATCATACAGGGGGGAAAGGGATTGTTAGTAATGGAGACTGAGAATCCTATTGCTAGCAATATACCCAACCAGGTCGACCTCCTCGCGGTTCTCCCTGGAAACTATCATGGTTAATTCCTGATGAATTTATCATGAACTGTCCACTATTGAACATAGCTTCCCCATAAGGAGTATTTTGTCAATAGTTGCCACGCTTGGCTGACGGATAGGCAACTGCAGTTTGACGTTTGGTTACGTTTTAAGAAGGACGCTGCTTCCCATCTCTCCACTATATGCTTGCTTAATCGCCTCTTACGACACCCACGGGAAAGGAAGGAATGGTTTATTCTATACACGGATAAATGGATTCGGTTTAAACTCGGATCTACTAACACCATAAAATAATTGGAAACGAGCGAATATCCACCAATGGACAATGTAACCCGTAATCAACGCACATTTGGTGGATTCCAATTTAAAGGAATTTAAAAAAAAATGGATTTGGTACTTTAAAAAGAAGAAAAAATCAATATAAAGCGCTATAACTAAGCGCTTTTTTTAACTTTTCTTTCAAAGATATTCCGGAAATAGCATATAGTTCTTTCTCCGTCGCGAAGCACGGAATTTCTCTACTAAAGTGTTTACCACTATTAAAATTTTTCTTTTACGACTTTCACTAATCAATATTGCACATAGAGGGCCTACAGAAATGGGAAATTGATGTTTGAACCGTAGCCGGCGGAGGGCGCACGCGCGCTGCCACAAAATGGCGGCGAAGTAACCCCGCCCCGCCGGATGTCCGGGGGACGCGCTGTACGCCCTGTTCAATTCGTCTAACCCTTTCAACGCATTTACACATATTATCAACAATTACATAATTTTTTCTTAAAACTCAATGATTTTCTTTTTCATTTATTTATCTGCGAATAAACTTTATACAAAATTACATATAAATATATTAAAGTAAATATAAGCTTAGGTGTGTTGTATTTACCTAAATCATGGAAAAGCATAGATAATAGATAATACCTAAATCATAGATAGATATATCCAAATATCTTTATCATGTCTATTTATTTGTTTATTTATTTGACGCGCATAACAGAAGTTTACAAATACAAACTTAAAAAATAACATGCAAGTATCTGATATTGGTATTATGCCTATCTATATTTCTTGTTAGGTATGAGTG